TTTTTTTTTTTTTTTTTTTTTGGGGGGGGGTTCCCTCCTATTTTGAAATAAAATTCGGGGTTGCCAGGTGGATGGTAGATGATTAAAAAAGTTCTTTTGCCACCTGGTGACATGTCATCGGATAAATGAAAAATATTAATTTTTTCTATAGCGTGTGTTAATAATAAAAACTATATTTTTACCTTAAAAAAATGAACTATTGGTTAATGTTATTTTTCTATACTTTGGTTTTGAAAGATATGGCCCTTTTGATTTTAGTTTATAAGTTGCAATTTAATTTTCTTTGTTTCTTTTTTTTTTTATTTTATTTTATTATAATTTATAATTTTGTATTCAATTTTTTTCCTCTATATTTCTTGCAGAGGTGCTGAAAATTACGTCAGAGCATGGGGAATGGGAGAAATGGGGAAAAATAGAAGGTATTTATTTTGGCCGCCATTGTATTTCTGAGTTAACATCAGAGTAATAGCTTCTTAGTATTTTATATTAGTAATCATCAGTCTGATTATGTTGATTTGGTTGATTTGCAGGTTATTTTGGGCACCACTATACTCTGGATGAGAATTTTGAGGGTGGTGGTGAAAAGCATTATCCCAGTGGTTCTGAACTTAAATTGGAAGTCATCGCAGATACAAGGCCCACATTTCCCGGCTCCTCTGAGAATGATTATGGCCCTGCTTGTACCAACACCGTTGGATGCTTTTCGGGTCAATGGGCATGCAAGGGTGGTGATTGGAAGAGGAACGAGGAAGCTACTCAAGATAGATATTGGAAGAGAAAGCTCCTTCTCAATGATGGTTATCCTCTGTGTTTGATGCCCAAGTCTGGGTCTGAGGACCCACGCTTGGAGCTGAAAGAAGAACTGTATTGTCACTCTCAGATCAAAACTCTTGAGCTGCCTCCTTGGGCTTTTACCTCCCCGGACGAGCTGAATGACCCCAGCAGTCTGAGCCGAGCAAACCAAATGAAAGCTGCTCTTGCCAGGGGGACCAGAGGCATGATGCTTCCGGTTATTAGGATAAATGCATGCGTGGTGGGTGACCATGGTTCTTTTGTGTCTGAAACCCGTGTAAAAGCTAGAACAAAGGAGAGGTTATCTTCAAGGTCTTCGAGACCATATTCCACCACGAGTGAAACTAAGAGGTCGTCTGAAGATAGTCACTCAAAGAGTGTTTATGAACTGGGCTCGAGGGATTCTAGCAAGAAGAGTAGTACAACCTTCAGCATACCAAAGGATTGCCTTTGCAGACGAGATCAACTAAAATTGTCTTTGGGTGATTGGTACTTCCTAGATGGTGCTGGGCATGAACGAGGGCCTCTATCATTTTCAGAGCTGCAAGTGATGGCCGATCAAGGTGCCATTCAGAAACACAGCAGTGTTTTCAGAAAACAGGATAAAATTTGGGTTCCAGTTTCTGTCCTCTCTGAGCCTTCTGGACCATTAGAGCATGATAATAGTGCGACTTGTATTACTTCCAAGTCTGAAGCTGGTGATGCTTTATCGAGTGGGAGCCAGAGTGTATCCAGTAGCTTCCATGACATGTATCCACAATTTATTGGATATACTCGAGGGAAGCTTCATGAATTGGTAATGAAATCGTACAAAAGTCGGGAGTTTGCTGCCGCCATCAATGAAGTCCTTGACCCTTGGATTAGTGTCAGGCAACCGAAGAAGGAGATAGAAAAACATATATACCATTCAGGTACTTATTCTTCTTTCAATGTAACTTCACTCCATCTTCACATTGAGAATAAAAAGGAACATATCTACGTTAAAGAATGAAAAAGAATTGATCAAAGTTGCACCTGCTAAGGGTTTTATAATTTTTGTCTTTATTATGTTACATTTGTAAAAGCTTCCTTTGAACTGGCAATGCAGAGCGCTTCCATGCTAACAAGAGAGCTAGGATACATGGGTTTGATGAGTATGAGGTGGCAGAGGACGTAACAGATTCTTTTGTAGAGTGCCAATTTGATGATTTATGTGGTGATGTTACCTTCGGAGGAGTTGAGTTGGATTCTGTAGTTGAAAGAGGAAGCTGGGATATACTTGATGGCCATGTTCTGGCTCGAGTGTTTCATTTTCTTAAAGCTGATGTCAAGTCACTTTTTTATGCTGCCTTAACTTGCAAACACTGGCGATCAGTGGTGACATTTTATAAAGATATATCCAGACAGGTTGACTTCTGCACCATTGCGCCCAGGTGTTCTGATTCCGTCGTCTTGAAGATAATGGTATACTATGCTTGTTTATGCTTTAGCACGTGCTTCTGTTGCATTCCTTTTTTTTTTTTTTTTACTTTTCTTTTTTGAGATCTTACTAGTTTGTTTGCTTTTTAGTGTATGTTGAAGGCTCTCTATTAGTTAATATTGCATCTCACGTAATTTATTGTGCAGAATGATTACAAGGGAGAAAGGATTACCTCTTTATTGTTTCGTGGATGTACTGGCATTACTTCTGCCATGTTAGAGGGACTTCTTCAGTCATTCCCTCGTACGTCCTCTGTAGATATTCGAGGTTGCAACCAGTTTGAAGATTTGGTCGGCAAATTTCCTAATATTAATTGGGTCCGGAATCCGGGTCCACCTTTGAAATTTAGGAGCCTTAATCACTTAGCTGATGGGGGAACATCCATCTCTAATCAGATGGAAGACTCCAGTGGACTGAAGGAATATTTAGAAAGTTCAGACAAGAGAGATTCTGCAAATCAGTTATTCCGCCGAAGCTTATATAAACGATCTAAGCTCTTCGATGCTCGGAAGTCGTCATCTATCCTATCTCGGGATGCTCAGTTGAGGCGTTTGTCTATTAAGAAGACTGGAATTGAATACAAGAGAATGGAGCGCTATATTGCTACAGTCATACAGGAAATCATGAGCAAGAACACTTTTAAATTTTTTGAGCCTAAGGTTTTACTGAAACCATCTCATTTACTTATGTTTTGCTTATTTTTGTCATTTGGCAATTCTCGTTGACATCTTTAGGTAGCTTATGTAATATTATATTCTCTTTGTTGGCAGGTTGCTGATATTGAGGAAAGAATGAAAAATGGGTATTATGCTACTCGAGGCTTGAACTCTATCAAAGAGGATATTAGTCGCATGTGTCGGGATGCAATAAAGTAAGTTCTCTTTCAATTTTGATTTTGCTAATTGTATCACTTTGAAAAAGGACCATGCTATTATTGATAAAGTGGCTAATATTGATCTATGTTATACCTGATATCAGATCTAAAGGTCGGGCTGATGCTAAGGACATGAACCGCATTATTGACCTTTTTATTCAGCTGGCTACAAGTTTGGATAGAGGTTCAAAGTTGGGTTATGCAAGAGATGAGTTGTTGAAATCTTTGAAAGATGACTCCCCTCCAGGTTTTTCATCTTCTTATTCGAAGTCAAAGAAGAGCCTAAATAGAGTTACCGAAAGGAAATATAGGTGCAATGGCACTCTATACTTGCATGGACTTTCTGATTCTGGTGACTGTGCTTCTGATCGGGAAATCAGGAAGCGATTGTCCAAATTAAATAAAAAATCTTTGGATTCGGAAAGCGACACATCTGATGACTTCGGCAAGTCTTCTGATGCAAGCTTTGCAGAGAGCAAAAGCACTGCTTCAGACACAGAGAGTGACTTGGAGTCCCCATCACAAGGTGCCATAGGAAAGTCCCCACGTGAAGCATGCTTTATATCTGACGACCAGTTTGATTCGTTGGCTGACGATCGTGAGTGGGGTGCCCGCATGACAAAGGCAAGCCTGGTCCCGCCTGTTACTAGAAAGTATGAAGTGATTGATCATTATGTGATAGTGGCAGACGAGGAGGAAGTGAGAAGAAAGATGCAGGTCTCTTTACCTGAGGATTATGCCGAGAAGCTCAACGCACAAAGAAATGGCAATGATGAGTCTGATATGGAGATTCCTGAGGTGAAGGATTACAAACCCAGGAAATTCCTCGGGGATGAGGTTCTTGAACAAGAAGTTTATGGCATAGATCCATACACTCATAACCTTCTTCTTGATTCTATGCCAGAGGAATCAGATTGGTCGCTTGTTGAAAAGCATTTGTTTATTGAAGAGGTGCTTCTTCGCACTCTCAACAAGCAAGTCAGGAAGTTTACGGGTGCAGGAAACACTCCAATGGTGTATCCTTTGAAGTCTGTCTTTGAAGAAATATTGCAAACTGCAGATGAAAACAATGACCGAAGAACTATGAGCATGTGCTTATCTATATTGAGGGCTATTGATAGTCGTCCGGAGGACAAATATGTAGCTTATAGAAAGGTTGGCTATATTATTGTTGGATTGGTATTCAGTTTCTTATGTTGTTTGATAATATGTACTAGTTCAATCCATTAGTTCATGCAGTCTCACAGTCTTCATTTGATCAGGGACTTGGAGTTGTTTGCAACAAAGAAGGCGGTTTCAGTGAGGATGATTTTGTTGTTGAGTTTCTGGGAGAGGTAATGCTTCAGTGCTATTATCTTTAATAACAGATTCTGATATGAGATAATTATAGCAAGTCTGCAAGGTGTAGGGTTAAGAGTTTAGTTTTATCTGCATGTGAGGTCTCAAATTGGGATAACATGGATAGTATCTTACTTATGATATGAAAAGCTATTTTGTTTCAGTTACTGAGGCATCGACATCAACTTTCACCTTTAGCCTTTTCTTTTGCTTCTATTTTCTTTCTTTCTCGTTAATTTATATATGTGAGAGTGAAAGCTGGTTTAAGTATCCTGTGTACTTGGGGAAACAGTGGGTACCCGTCGTTGGAAAAATTGTTGATGCTGCATATTACTTCTCAGCGTTAAAGAAATTGTGATTTTTTTTATTAAAATATTTTCCGGGAATATGCATGATTTAATTCTTGCCGTTTATTTTGGTTGGTGTGACGTGGGAATAGCAGTTTACAGTAATCACTAGTTCAATTTGGCTAGGTCTGGGATGTGCTGGAAGGTCTTTGTGCATGACATTCTTTCTTGTTAAACCAAACTAGTGAAAGTACTGTAGGTTTGCGAGGTTCTGAGAGGATTTCAATTGAGAGTTGCCACTGTACTCCTTTTTTTATTCATGCAACTATCAATTACCTAATCCTATCTATGTCTAGATGCATCTGATTTAAAGTCGTTCATTGGCACTTGATATTTAGGGGGTTTGGGTAGGTAATCAACTTCAAAGTTTTTTAGCAATGCTTCTTCATCTGTTTGTAGGCTTGCTTTGATGCTTTGAATCTTCAGAAAAGATGATTTAGACTTCTCTAAGAATTTATTTTTCTGTGCCATAGGTTTATCCTACTTGGAAATGGTTCGAAAAACAAGATGGCATCCGTGCTCTGCAAAAGAACAATAAAGATCCTGCACCAGAGTTCTACAACATTTATCTTGAAAGGCCCAAGGTATACACAAGTTGATATAATTTTTAAGTAATGATTGATGGCAGTATTCGAAACGCTGAAAGAATATTCGAACTTAAACTATAATATGAGTAAATTAGTTATTCAGGCTAGTGTGATGTTTCAATCTTCTCAATAATAGCTAATATATTATTGAATTTGGAAGTGTCACTGTCTCATTTTTGTAGACATGAATATGTTTCATTTGTCTTACATCACATGGTACATGGGCTGTCGACTTATATAAATCTTTAAACGCAGGGTGATGCTGATGGGTATGACCTTGTAGTAGTTGATGCAATGCACAAGGCAAACTATGCAAGCCGGATATGTCACTCTTGTAGACCCAACTGTGAAGCGAAGTAAGTAGATGTGGTCATAATATACCGAGCTATAATTGCTTGCTTAAGAAAATAGTGTGTGTGAGTTCTTATTGATGCTTTCTGCTCAAACGAATAGATTATCAAGATTATTTGTGTCAATATTAGTATTTGACATCCTTCTCAAATCTCAACTAATTAAGGATAAGTGATGCCATCAGGTTGCTTAATTGTGCAGTATCTTTGATCTTCATTTTTATATCTGTTTCTTGAGTGTGACTAGGTTGTAAGAACAATATTCATTTCTTGTTCTTTTTTGGAAACAGGGTTACTGCTGTTGATGGTCAGTACCAAATTGGGATCTATTCTGTTAGACCAATTGCTTACGGTGAAGAGATCACATTTGACTACAATTCTGTTACTGAGGTTAGTGATGTTGGAGTTGGACTATTGCATTAAAATTTTATCATATTAGATTCTAATTATGGATTTACCTGCAGAGCAAGGAAGAGTATGAAGCATCTGTTTGTTTATGCGGCAACCAGGTTTGCCGTGGAAGTTACCTAAACCTAACAGGGGAAGGGGCTTTCCAGAAGGTAAATGTTATGACGTTATCCCATCAAGTTACTTACATTTAATTCAGGACATAATATCCGTCTATTACCTTCATTTTCAGTATATCTGTATATGTATTTTTTAAGTTTTCGCAAAAAAAAAAAAAAAAAATTCTTGGCTTTGATTACATAAATTTAACATCTGAATTTCTGTTTTTTAGGTGCTGGAAGAGCACCATGGGTTACTTGATCGGCTGCATTTGCTGCTTGAGGCTTGTGAACTGAATTCCGTATCCGAAGAAGATTATATTGATTTGGGCAGTGCCGGGCTGGGGAGTTGCTTGCTTGGTGGATTGCCTGATTGGTTGATTGCCTATTCAGCACGTTTGGTATACCATCTTAGATTAGCTCCTGTAAAAAATAAAAAAAAAAAA